CTTTTAAAAAAGGCATCAAAGAAGGAGCGATGTAGGTCCAAGGTAGGAAAGTTCTCCAAGATCTGAGGTCTTACCTTGTGTTGAATAAGATACATTAGAAAATTTGTTGAGTAAAATATTAGGGAATTAAGGACGTATCTGGATAAGCTTCTCAATGCATAGAGAGGGTGAAAAGATGAGTAAGATTTCAATCTCCTTAACGTGCAATTGTGCCACTTCAGAATAATGTGGGTGAATAGTAGCTATTGCTGAAAATGCAACTTTAGACAGTCCTTAACAACCATTTGTTTCAGTGACCGTTTGAAGGTGACTTATGACCATTTTCCACACCCCATTGCAGCATCCCCTGGTCACGTGATCAAAATTTGGATGCTTGGCAACCGGCATGTATTTAAGACAGTTGCAGGTTCCCGGAGTCATGTCACGAGCTTCTGACAAGCAAAGTCAATGGGGAAGCCGGATTCACTTAACAACCGTGTTACTCATTTAACAGCTGCGGACCGGTGTCTGTAGAGATGATCCTCAGTCATCCAGGTCATGGTTGTCCCAAAGGTGTTTTTTTTCAGGAGGCAACTGGACTTTCTTGTGTTTTTTTTTTTTCTTTTGAAGACGTTTTGCTTCTCATCCAAGAAGCTTCTTCAGTTCTGACAGGAGTTTCAGGAAGCTCTGAAGAAGCTTCCATTCCCCACCATCCAATCAGAGCTGAAGAAGCTTCTTGGATGAGAAGCGAAACGTCTTCAAAAGAAAAGAGAGTCCAGTGGCCTCCTGAAAAAAAACACCTGTGGGGCAGCTGTTGTTGGGACATCAGCTGCAATGATCCCCTTAACAACTGTAGCAAGAAAGAACATAAAATGGGCCAAAACTCCCTTAACAACTGCCTTGGTTAGCAACAGCAATGTTTGGGCTCAATTTTGGTCATAATTCGAGGACTACCTGTACCAATAATTCTCATTTTATTTTCTTGATCACTGGAGGTATTAACAGCACGCATTAGCTCTTTGTTCCTCTCGTTGTCTCATTCCTCTGTTTCTCTAATTGGGAGACTGCCCTACACAGCTGACTTCCTAAAGGAAGAATACAGGTATTCCTCACTTAGCGACCACTCATTCAGCGACCACTCAAAGTTACGATGGTGCTGAATGAAGAGACTTAGGCTGGTCCTTGACGTTTTGGCCATTACAGCATCCCTATGTTTGGGCACTGAGGTTATGGCAGCTGCAATTATCCGATCTCCATTTGCCTACTTCCCACAAGGGACGTGGAAAAGGAAGCCAGCAACAAGCCGCAAGTCGCAGCCATGTGACGTCACACTTAGCCACCAAGCACAATTCACTTAAAATGGCAGCCAGAACTGCTGTCGAGTCAGTGCTGCCACATGATCTCTCCTTTTTATGGCTGTGTTGCTTAGCAACAAGAGTTCCCAGTCCCATTGCACTGAGGACCGCCTGTAGTGAATTTTCTACTTCTTCCCACCAGAAGACTTGGAAAACTCAAGAGATGCACTTTTCTCGTTGTGCCACATCAGTTAATAAACATAACTTGTCCCTTCGGACTTTATAAACATCCATCTCAAGATCCTCTTCTAAGCTGCTTAGAATCAAGATCACATGAAGTGTTAAGACCACTTTATAATGCCTTGGTAAGGCCACACTTGGAATACGGCATTCAGTTTTTGGTCACCACGATGTAAAAAGGATATGGAGACTAGAAAGAGTGCAGAGAAGAGCAACAAAGATAATTAGGTGACTGGAGGCTAAAATATAAAGAACGGTTGCAGGAACTGGGTATGTCTAGTTTAATGAAAAGAAGAGAAAAGAAAAGAAAAGAAAAGAAAAGAAACATGATAGCAAGTCTTCCGATATCTCAGGGGCTGCCACAAAGAAGAGGGAGTCAAACTTTTCTCCAAAACACCTGAGGGTAGAACAAGAAGCAATGAGTAGAAACTAATCAAGGAGAGAAGCAAAATTTCCTGACAGTTAGAACAATTA